CGTTCGGTGGAACTCTAGAAGTAAAGGTAATGTTTAGGATAGTTGACAGTTATATAGTTTTATTTCGACATACTGTGACAGTCGAATTATGGTTTAAGGTAATTCCGCAGTTTTGCATTGCGCACTTTTACTGCGCACATCTTATAACTTATAATTTCATCCATTATACGTACCGTTTAAAAAAAATCATTTTATGACAATTTTAGGTTACTTCAAAACATCTTTGGTTGCATTCGTGCAAAGAATTACGTTAAAATAAATGTTTTCAAAAAAGGCATACAAAAGTGTAGCTAGGGTTCCTTGTGTCTGTAGTATATTTATTTACTTGTATTTCACATTTTAATGCCACAATTCCCTAAAAAGATCGGTGACCCCCGTTTTTTAACTGATAATTTATTTCTTTAATGCATTTTACATTTCATATCCGAAATTAAAAGAAAAATCATTTCTGGATCTTGAAAAAAAATCCTTTAATCAATGCATGTTCTCAAAGAAAGATATGTAAAGAAATGTGGAAAAGACATTTGTGGATCAGAATTGTACACGTTAGTTGTTTCATTTTGCTCAAAACACAATATTTTTTCAAAAATAATTACAAGATAGGTTTACTGAAGCAAAATCCGCGCTAAAAACGTCAATAAATATCGGGCTGTTGTGATTTTGCTGTTACTCGTAATGAGCGTCAAGATGGTGCCATATTGGGGTAAAGGTGGTATATTGTGCTATCACTATATATCTGCGCGCTTAATAAATGATTTTAGTTTCAGGTTACTAAATAAATACCTTTTTAGAAAACTGGGTTTTCCGGGCCGCAAAGTCATCGTAACAGCTATCACCCACAGCCCCCCCAGAAATTATTGGGTGGGGGGAAGTCTGTAGTATTCGCTAGCTAATGCTGAATATCAAGACGTTTTACAGCACCTGGTTGAAAATCCCACAACATATATATAACCGAAATTGTTCCACCATTCTGTTTTTAGACATCCAAAGAACTCAATGTCTCTGGGTGTATTGGACCGTGTATATCTGTGGATAGGAAAGGACCAAATGTTTCAGAAACAGTGCGTATACTTTTAAAACCTGTTTGCATTTCATTTTGACATATACCAGTAGAAACCCGCGTACAAGAACGAGTAGTTTAAAAAACCTGTAGATTAAGAACCTGTTATGGGATCTTCTTATAATAAGAACCTATTTTTTTGGCTAGGTTTTGAGTTAACAATGGTTGTTGTTTTGCATACAGGAAGCTTTAAATCATATACTATCGAAATGATAAATTGGCCCCTCTAGATTTGCACCCGCGGGAATCTGGATTGATTTTATGTTATGATGGACTTTTTCGTAAACAAGCTGCGATGTTTGACAGGGAAAGAACATGTTGATTAGTGTGAACGGTAAATCCAGAGGTCTAAGAAGCACAGCCACTGTGACTGCCCAAGCATGTTTTAGAACTGCAAATTTAGGTATAACGAAAAATAATTTTGCAGAAATCTTACACCTAGTAAATATTTTATTATAGTCTATACAGCAAATAGCCAAACAAGCAACTCGAGTGAATAATCGCGTAAACATAGTCAAAAATTTTACTTTTAAACATTGCAGTTTGTTTATACGAACTCCGTTGAAGTTCAAGAGTGGTCACAGGGTGCCAAAAAGTTCATCACGTGGTATTTGAAATCGATTCTGTGCATGCTTATCTCGAGAGACCACTTCGGCGATTTTGATAGTAAAAGTATAGTTACTCATTGAATTTCCTGCATGATATACAATGTTGAATTCAAACGTCTGGTTGTGTATTTTTGAAGGAAATCGGCGTGGGTGGAACATCAGCATGGAAACTTTGTGGATTTGATTCAGCAACAACGTTAGCTGTGTTCCTTGAAATAGTAAATCAAGTAAGTTACTATATGCTATGTATTATGATAAATGTATTATGATAATGTGTTGTTTTTTGTGTTGTGCTTTGTTATGGCGTTCTGGTTAAGGTGGCTCGATACAGTTTTCAAAAATTCAGGTGTTCAACACTTTGACATGTTCAAACTACGCATTTTTAGGATTTATTCAGCAGATATTGAGGTTTTTATATATTTTGATATCTCAACTTTCAAATTATATAAGTCTTAGTAACAGATAGTTCGTTGTTAATGACGACATACGTGTACGAAATTCACTCCACAATGGCCTATCGTCTCGTACAGTTGGAAAAAAAGCATGGTGACCCCCAAATTTTTATCGTGCATTATGTTACTTCGACGAAAAGCTAACATTTAGCAAAATATAAAAAAATTCTGTAATGCCATTTTTTTGGAAAATGCGAAAATGTCATATTCTTCGGTAAAATTTTTTTGGCATTACAGAATTTTTTTATTTTTTGTATAATGAAAGTTTTAAGCGGTGCAATACAGCATGCAAAATTTTAACATAGGTCACCAGACAAAATAAAGAGATATAGCGCATTGTTTTTCTATAATGGAAAATTCTAATGACGTCAGCAATTGACATAAAACACTATAGAACACACGCAATGACGTGATATGGCGCGAGCAACTGCTCACGTCAGGTCATTTTAGAAGTTCTTTCATTTTGTTAATCAGTTTCCACGACCTGCGCGTAAAAATGATCACCCGGTTTTGAGTTCGCGACTCTTAGTGAGCAGGGTTTTTGTGATAACTATATCGAGCCACCTTAACTGTTGTGTTGCATTGTGTTGTGTTGTCCTTCATTCCTCTTTATTGTATAGCATTCTCTGCACTACTCAGCTCCACTGTATTGAACATATGACAAAGTCTATATATTTATGTGGCCTTAAAGTATATCTCCTTACTTTTCATTACTGCAGCATACAGCTCCAGTACCTCAGGGCTCGCGAGGTTGTATACAATTCATAACACAATACCAACACTCTAGTGGTCAGCGAAGAATACGTGTTACGACATGCGCAAGAAATTGGGTTGATGCAGGGAATTTAGCACACGTATCTCTGGGTAGGTGCAAGATCATACCGCATTAACGCACCATGACGTCGTTATTGCATATTAGTAACTTTACTAACTTAACGTTACTTTATGCGTATTTTGCATGAGAATTCAACGTTACCCGTAGACCAAATTTCGTTTTGATATATTTTTCTCTTATATTTTAAGTCTTGTACACATTAAGTCTTGTACACATCTTTAAAAATACTTTTTCAGAGAAAAAAGTGTTCACATTAAAAAAAAACAACACGTTATCATTAGGTTTAAGGTTAAGGTCAAACTATTGCCTAGGGTCAGGGTTGGGTTAGGCATTGGGGTAAGGGTTCGTACGCCCCCTGGAAACACTGGAAGTCCTGCATGGAAACTCCATGAAAAGTCGTGGAATTTCAAAGTAATCCCTGAAATCCCCTAGAAAACTACTGTAAACTGACATGTACGATACTTCAAGTATTTTAGTAAGATTAATTACAAAACGTTCTTGCACCTAGCGTATCGATCTTTTTAGATAGTTACATTACTTGATAGCGATATCTGTAGTGAAAAACTTGTCGAAGTATTGTTGAAAATAATTTTGTCATACAGTACTTCAAATATCCCTGGGAAACTTCTGGCAAATATAAGAGAACAAAGTCCTTAAAGATCCTGGATTAAAGATCCTGGATTTTTAGAATTATGAAAGTGTACGAATTCTGGGGTTGGGTTAGGAATGCGGCTAAGAATTCAGATTTACGTTTAGGGTTAAGCTTAGCTTAGGTTGTAGACTCAAACCATCCGATTTAGACTCGAGTCGCAATCTTTGTGACTTGTAATTTAACTTATTTTAACTTATTAATCAGATTAACGACTAGACTTGGACTCGAACAAAAGGACTTGTGGCCTGATTTGTGAGCTTGGATGACTTCCCAGTACAGAATGACTTGCGTCTTGACTTGGTCACAGACAAAATGACTGGTGACTTGATTTAACTTGCTATACTCGGAGTGAATGACTTGACTCAGACTCGGATTAAGTGACTCATGATTTGCCTTGGACTTGTCAAAAACTGCTTGTGACTTCACTTGTACTTACAAAATAAAAACTCAGTAAAGGGTTTGTTTTAAGGTTTAGGGTTGGGTTTAGAGTTTGAGTTAGAGTTTGGTTTAAGGATTAGGTCAAAAACAAGCATGGTGTCACTGCGATATACTGTAATCTAACTCCGACCTTATGTGTAGGTTTCGACCAGGAGACATCGTGTGTCATGATGAGTCGTATAGCTGTATTCCGAGCAGAGACAGACGAAGGACCCGATGTTCTCAGGTGGCTAGACAGAATGTTAATCAGATTAAGTCAGAAATTTGGAGAATTTAATAAAGAAGATCCGAGTTCGTTCCGTTTAGCAGAAAATTTCTCACTATATCCACAGGTACGTGGAATTTGTTGTATTGCTACACTCTAAACACGCCCCGATTAAAGTTTTTGAAATCACATTTGTCCACCTATGTGCATAATATTAAAGCAGTGCAGAAGAAAAGAAAAACCAATTAATCTCTAATATGTCATGCTAAACAACAACGCCCTGGGCAAAATAGGAAACATTGTCGTGGAAACATTTGTGATCGTCGATGTTTCCACAAATGTTTCCCTGTTTGTCCACCTGTAGATGAGATTAATTTCAGAAAGTTTGCTCTGAAGTTTTAGGTTAACCTTGGATTAAGTTAACCGGCCTACGAACAGCCCCTGGATGTTTTTACTGCAGTACTGGTCTCAGAACTAGAACTAGAACTGGATAAAGCATCTGCTATGCATATACTGTATGAAGCCAATGGCGGTCATATTGATATAACCACCATATTTCATACCATGTTTCTATTTTTTCTAGTTTATGTTCCACTTAAGACGTTCACAATTTTTACAATACTTCAATAACAGTCCAGATGAGACTTCATATTACAGGTCAGTTTTGACTACGTCCACACAACACTGGAGTGAAGTAATGCTGGCAGAATTTACGCGTGTTCACACTACGCCATTACAGTTTGTTTACAAATTAAATTGGCACTCATGTAAACCCAAAATATTTCAAATAGAGCAAAGAAAATTAAACGAAAAGCATTCGAATTTACTGTTTTGAGAACGGTGATGCTTGGTTTGCAAGCGGTACAAAAATGTAACGGCGTTTGTGTTGACACGAACTCACGAAGCCGCCAAGCGCTGCGTTTTCATCTCGCTCCGTTTCGAAACCGTGCTCAAATTGTTACGACAAAAGTAACGTTTTCAAACAATTTCGCTCCGGCGTGGTGTGAACACGACGGCAAATTGTGACTTTTCTGCGCCGTTTTTAAACCACTCCGGCGTATTGTAAACCTGGTCTTAGCCTGAATTCTGAAAGAGAGCGTCCAGTTTCCTTGATGACACACCTTTAGGGGTGATGACACACCTTTAGGGGTGATGACACACCTTTAGGGGCGATGACACACCTTTAGGGGTGATGACACACCTTTAGGGGTGATGACACACCTTTAGGGGTGATGACACACCTTTAGGGGTGATGACACACACCTTTAGGGGCGATGACACACCTTTAGGGGTGATGACACACCTTTAGGGGTGATGTCACACCTTTAGGGGTGATGACACACCTTTAGGGATGATGACACCTTTAGGGGTGATGACACACCTTTAGGGGTGATGACACACCACTAGGTGTGTTTTTAGGGGTGTCCCCCCCCCCCCGAATTTTAGGCGTCCATTTTCAGTTCTAGGGCCTCCCAGACTAAAAGCCTGGTTTAACGACATGCTAGGCTTTGAGGTGTTTTAGAATGGCAATTGAAATGACATTAAGAGAGAAATTCGAAGAGGAAGTTGACTAAATATCTGTGTGCGTTTATGTTTTGCTGATTTGTGTTTTGCTATGAATGAGTTCTTTGAGAAAGTGTGTAACTTTTTTTCTTCCATTGCAGACATGTTCTAAATCGTGAAGATGTGATGAACTCTCTTATTATGATACAGCCCATTCTTTATTCTTATACTTTCCATGGACCGCCTGAGGTATGTAACATTAACGCCCATATTCCAAAAGCTCACTCACACTCAAAGAGTGAAGGTTCAATCTGAGCTTCCCTTGAGTTTCAGTGCTGTTTTTGAATAGCTACAGGGTGAGTAGCTACATAGTGAGGTACAAGATTCACCCTCCAGCTATTCAAAAGCAGCACTGACACTCAAGGGAAGCTCAGATTGAACCTCCACTCTTTGAGTGTGAGTGAGCTTTTAGAATACAGGCGTATTAGTTAAAGTATCTTTCTTGACACAAGACAGCTCTATCAGTTATCTCTAAACCGATTTCCAAGAATTTCTGTAAGGGCCATTTCGTATTGATGTGACAGTGATGAGGAAACCACAGTACGTGAAGAAACGGTATTTGCAGAGTCGAACTGGATGCGGGGTTTTCTTTCCACTATTAAAGGCGAATTGTAATCAGAAAACTGCATTTGCAGGAAAAGAGAGAGTGAGTAACAACGAAAGTAACCAAACATTAGAATTATGTATATGACTTATTCACTCCTAGGGTTGGGCGATATTAAAAAAATCATCTCACAATTATTGTCAAGGAAATTATCACGATATTCGATATTATCGCGATAAATGAAATAAAAAAATGACCATTTTTCAATTTTAATTAATATCAAAGCATAGTAAGCTTATATATAATCTTATTAAAAAAAGTAAAACAACAAATTAAAGTAATATGAAGGCTTTTTCTAGTCTAATATTTACTGTTCATAAATCAGAACTGTCTATGCAGTGTCTACTGTGTCTCCGCTGGCACAAATGCTGTGGGCACACAGCACAAGCAAAGCCTGCAATTTCAGCAGATTAATACATAAATATTAGCTTTTGTATCGTATTAAATTCGTATTTAATTCAGGAAATAGTTTTAATTCTTTTAAAAACTATATTTTCTAGGAATTGAAAAGATTTTTTTTTGATTTTATAAAAACTATATGCACATGTGAAGCAATATCACGATAGTCATCGAGCATGACGATAATTTCGATATATCGTCGCTCAAGTTTCTGCCTTCGATACGATAATCGTGATTGAAAATATCGCGATAAATCAAAATATCGAAATATCGCCCAACCCTATTCACTCCTGTACATAATTTTAGTGCTCAGTTACAATTCTTGCTCCATCCTTCCGTAGTTTTGTAGTTGACTGTAGTTGTAGACGCGTCACAATCTCACAGCTTCTCAACAAGATGTGCTCGCACTGCTTTTTCTCAGCTGTTGACAAGTCCGGAACAAGTTGTTATCATCTTGTAAGATCGATGAGAGGCCAACAGACTCGCAACAAGCCTGAGCTCGCAGCAGCTTGTTATGAACAGCTTGTACTAGTCTTATTGGAACAACTTGTAGTAAGTCCGTTACCGTCATCAACCTTGTTTCAAGGTGATAACAACTTGTCCCAGACTTTTCACAACAACTGAGAACAAGCAGTGCGAACACATCCTGATAATGGCTTGGCAACAACCTTGTTACAACTCCTTTGTAGATATGTAACAACTTGCGCGTTTTTATGCAGTGTGTAGTGCAGGAGTCTTCACCCCTTTTTTTCGGCGACCCAAACCCAAGCTTCATAGGTGTCCCGCGACCCTGAACACTGCCAATAAAACTTTCGATAATTAAAAACTTGGCTTTTCACACCGAAAGCTTCCAAGTGTATGACGACGACTCTACTTCGGAAGACGACGTGCGCCGAGTGGTGCTAAGCCATAATGTTTGAGTTACATGAAGTAAAAGGTATTATATCTAAAGCTTTACCAGTTTACCTGTTTACCATATTATTCTAGCAATCTAGCGCTTGAGTGCTTCATAATAATCGTGAAAAAAACATTATAATCGCA